AAATGTAGTATCAATTCTGCTTTTATCGGGTTTTAATACAATAAAAGAAAAATGTTACTCTCTCGACTAAAATATTTACGTAATATTTATTATCAAACTTGATATTGCTTAAAAAATATTGTTTTTATTTTAATAGACTACATGTGATACATAATAATCAAATCTACTATATATATATATATACTAATAAGAGCCCAAGAGAGTTAGGCCTATAATGGGTAGAACAAATGGCGGTCATATTTTTTAATCAAATGAATGGCTCAGATTGATTTTTTTAATCAAATGAATGGCTCAAATTGATCAGATTTTAATTTTTCTTTGAGATTTACTAATTTATCCTTAATTTTATGATTTTCCGTTAACTTTTCAGTTAAATATTATCTTTTCCGTTAATTTCTGTTAGTTCACCGTTAACTTACTCATTGATTTCAATAAAAAAGGTCTTAGGTTCGAACCTCATCTCAATCAAAGTTGGCATAATTAGTACTCTATTTTAATCTTATTAAATTAAATAATAATTTAATAGCTACAACAAAAAAATAATACATATGCATTTCTTTAATTTAGAATTATGTGTCTACAATGTTTTTATTCAAAAAAAAAAATTATTCATTATCAATATATTAAATAAGAGAAATAATTTCATTAGTTATATTTTCTTTATTTTTCTTCAATATAAAAATTCTTTACATTCAAATGCATCAATTGATTGTATTCCCTACATTGTCTTTATTCAAAAAAAAATTATTCATTATCAATAAATTAATTAAAAATAATAATTTCATTAGTTATATTGTCTTTATTTTTTCTCCAATGTAAAAAAAAATATTATTTACATTCAAATTCATCAATTGATTATATTCACTACATTGTCTAATTTTTTTTTTGTGCAGTATTTTTTTATTAAATATCAAAGTTATAATACAAAAATAATGCTATATATTTATTTACCAAGTATTTTATTAATACTATGAAAAAATTTAAAAACAATAATTAAGCCAATCATATTAACTACTTTGAGAGATTTGTTAACAAAGAGAGTATTCAAATCACACAACAAATTGAAATGGAAAACTACCTCGCAATGTCCTTGTTTAACAATCAGCAGTTAGCGGACTATATTAGCGGATTTGACCAGAAAATTATATCAACCGTTGGTAAAAATATATTTGAAAAGAATAATTGTTTAGATTAGCATGTCACATGACCTAATAATAATAATAATAATAATAATAATAATAATAATAATAATAATAATAATAATAACAATAATAATAATAATAATAATAATAATAATAAACATTGGGCATTATCCCAATCGCGCAATGCGCGTAAAAAAAACTAGTATATATATATATATATATATATATATATATATATATATATATATATATATATATATATATATATATATATATATATATATATATATATATATATATATAGGGATGCACTCAGGTGCGAATAAGTGCCCAGGAAGGAATATGCGAATGAATCAGCGCGCGACACGTGTCCAGATCTAATAGCTTAAAAAAACGCGGTAGCATTTCCGTAAATAATTGAACATCGTAGTGCAAGTAAAATCACTTACAAGTGCACCTACTTTCACCTATAAGTGCATGTAATTTTGCCTTGTTAGCATTCACTTCCCGCAAACATTCATGCACCTGGCTGTGCTTATAACTATAGGTGCAACTACTTATAACTATAGGTGCACCTACTTTCACCTATAAGTGCATGTAATTTTGCCTTGTTAACATTCATTGATCTGAGTTCAGCGGGTAGTAATACCCCTGAAAACCACCCGCAAACATTCATGCACCTAGGTGCAACTACTTATAACTATGTGTGCAACTACTTAGAACTATAGGTGCAACTACTTATAACTATAGGTGCACTTAGTATTGATGCTCAGTGTAAATTTTTACTTGCACCTATAATACATTTTACATACACTTGTAATACATTTTATTTGCACTTCGATGTTCAATTATTTACAAAAATGCCACCGCATTTTTTAAAAAAAAATCAGTGTTTCTCATCCGATCCATTAGATCTGGACACGTGGACGGACAGGATTTATTCCTATTTCGCTCCTGGGCGAAGCATTCGCACCTGAGTGCGATTCTATATATATATATATATATATATATATATATATATTGGTTCCTGTGAGATCAGGTCTTCCCGTGCGGTCAGTGCGGCATACACCATTAGGTATGCATAAATGCACCATACAGTGTTCAAAAATACACCAGAATGAAATGCCAAAAAATACACCACAAAAAAAAAAAAAAAAATACACCACACATAATGGTGTATTTACGAACACTGTGTGGTGCATTTATGCATATCTAATGGTGTATGCCGCACTGACCGCACAGGAAGACCTGACCTCACAGGAACCTGACCTTGTATATATATATGTATATATATATATATATATATATATATATATATAATTAGGGTTCAAATGCGGTTGGTGCGCCCAGGTGAGGTTATGCAGTTAAATCTGAACCGTTGCTCTTGCTTAAATCAACGTCTAGGATTACAAAAATTAAAAAAAAAAAAACGCGATGACAATTTGATAATTTTTACATCTAGGTCAAATTGGGTCCGTTTGGAAAGCAGAAAAATGACTTCTGGAAAATGAGTCATTTTCCAGAAAACATTTTCCTTTCTAGTGTTTGGTTGCAATTTGGAAAACTTGGTGTGTTTAGTTTATTTTATGAAAAAATTAGTAGAATTGTATGTTTAAACATTTTGGAGGAAAATGACTTTCCCGAAATTTTGGCAGAAGTCATTTTCCGCCAAAATGGCTTCATTTTCCCCAGTCAACGGAAAATGTTTTCCGTTGACTGAATTTTCCTGTTGCATCCAAACACTGAAAACTCGGAAAACATTTTCCAGAAGTCATTTTCTAGGTTTCCAAATGGACCCTTAAGGTGTGTGGTTTCCTTCTTAAGGTGCGTGGTTCTTTGTGCTTAAGGTGCGTGAGGTTTGTTCTTAAGGTGCGTGAGTCGTGTGCTTAATGTGAGTATTTTGTTGAAACTTAAGGTGCGTCATTTTCCTTCTTAAGGTGCGTGAGTTTTGTGCTTATGGTGCGTGGGTTTTGTGCTTAATGTGAAGAGTTGTTGAAACTTAAGGTGCATGATTTTCCTTCTTAAGGTGCGAAATTTGTATGCTTAAGGTGCGTCAGTTGTGTAAAACTTAAGTGAGCCATTTTTAAACCTTAGGTGCGTGGCCGGTTTGTGTTCTTACGGTGCTTTGTTGTGTGTTTAAGATGCGTGATTTGTGTGTTTAAGGTGCGTGGTTTGTGTTCTTAAGGTGCTTTATTTGTATGCTAAGGTGTGTGGTTTGTATATATGTGTAGTTGTGTACTTAAGGTGCGCCATTTAAAAAATGTCACATCGACGTTTTTTTAAAAAATTACATATGATTCGTTGATCAGGACACGTGGACGATTGTGAGTGGTTCTTATTTCTCTCCTGTGTGACAGTTCACACCTGAACGCGCCCCAATATATATTAAAATAATAACACGTTATATAGTAACTATTATATAGTGAATTATGTAGGGGATTGTAGCATGATGATTCCAGCTTTACTCACAAAAAATTAAATAAATAAAAGAAAAAGTTGTCCAGAAAGGGGTGTTTGTTTGAGAGGGTAAAACATGATTCTCGTACTAGCACTACTACAAAACACACCTATCACGGCGGTTATTTTTATAAATACACGACGGTTCTTGAAGTGCCGTGTAAGTGACCGCCTTTGTAAATAAAGACTTTCTACGGTAATTTTTTGAACCGCAGTGTATCCTTCATATATACGGCGGTTGTTAACCGCCGTCTAATCTTACAATATATGCCGTGTAATCTCAACAATTATATGTATAGACTGCGATTTTCTTGAGGAATCGCTGTCTATACTTATAATTTGGACCTTGAAAAATATGTATAGACGACGGTTTCTCAAGAAAACCGCCGTCTATACATATATTTTGGACTTTAATATATATATATATATATATATATATATATATATATATATATATATATATATATATATATATATATATAGTGAAAGCTTCCCATGCGGTTATGCGGTGGATTAATGTGCGTGAGATTTGTATTCAATGTGCGTGAGTGTTGTGCTTAATGTGCCTGAGATTTGTACTTAATGTGCGTGAATGTATGCCGTGTAATCTCAACAATTATATGTATAAACGGCGATTTTCTTGAGGAACCGTCGTTTATACATATAATTTGGACCTTAAAAAATATGTATAGACGGCAGTTCAAAGAAAGAACCGCTGTCTATACATATATTTTTTTTTTGAATTTCCACTTTGTAAATCTCTAATATCAAATACAATAAAAAGTTGCACAATTGCATCAAATGCATACAATAATTCCAATATTACAATATATGTTGTCTATTATGTGTCGTAGTATAACAACATATATTAGAAGGCGGTTATTTAAAAAATCGCATTCTATTAAGTGACGTAGTATATCATTTCTGTAGTAGTGTAGTTCATTTCTTGTCAACACCTTTTTAGCTAAGTTCGCCGCACATGGTTCTTTTTGTAAAATTTACTTCTCGTGTGTGATTTGTATACTAGTATGGAGTATAGGGTGGTGGACCGCCTTTCATTTAATTGTCCTCATCGATTTTATAGGTGTTTTCATTTTTTATTTTTTTTCGAGAACCTCTTTTTTTAGTTTGTTATCCGAAAATTACGAGCCTTCAATACACAGGAATGAATGTTAGATGCTGGGTTCCACTATATATAGCATGCGTACAGACATTGAGATGTGGTGTTTGGTACTTGGCAAATGGCAATAATGAATTCAACACCGAAAGTGGAGTGGGATTTTGACATGTTGCTATAATCTTTCTTCATTACCATAATGCAATTAGGGATGTAAATCGGATTAGCATCTTCGGTTTTGGGTTAGCTTTTTTTTTTTTGAAAGGTGGCCAATAAGGCATATATTAAAGGTACTCAGAAATAGAGTCTGGAGGGACATCGTCCGAATACATAATCGTAGAAGAATTAAATGCAGTAGCCGCTAGACTATGTGCTAAATAGTTCTCTGATCTAGGAATAAAATTAACTGAACAATAATCAAAAGAAATAATGCATGCTCTACAAGCATCAATGGCATAGCCAACGTAAGTCCGAACAGTGATAGCTTGATTTGTCAAATACTGTTGCAGGGTCAAACAATCCGTGAGTATGTGTACTGAGCGCTCTCCACGATTCCATAACCAAGACAAGGCTTCCTTACATGCTATTGCTTCAGCCATAAGCGGGGACAGACAATCTGACAAGGGTGCACTGAATGCCGATACATATCCCCCTTCCTCGTCGAACAAAACCGCGCCTACCGTAGCCCTTCCTGTAGCTGGCATGAATCCAGCATCGACATAGCATCTCCGTCTCCGCTCGGCAGGCTCGTTCCGTGCGCCCTCTTGGGCGATCCCCATAGCAGTCACGGCATTTGCCGTGTTGTAGTGCTGCTGCTGCCGTGTCACGGCAGTGGCAGTAGCACTGCTTTGTGCGGCAGCCCCTTGGTCCGTTTGTGGGTGGGTGTGGTGGACTCTTTGCCATGCCAGTGCGGTTGCTTCGGCCAAGGCTAACACTTTTCGTGGTCGCGGTAGACACGCATCCCATACCTCTCCGTTCCTGGCTCTCCAAATATGATATAATATTGCAGCTGCGTGAACAATTTGGTTAGTGTCTAAAATATTTAATAGCTCACTAAACCAAGTATGAAAAATATTTGTTGCTATCATGGGGATTGGAAGGTGAGATTGAGCCCAAATGGAACTTGCATAACCACATGTTACTAAAGCATGCATTGTGTCTTCATCCATTATTCCACACATAGCACATGTTGGTTGGATTTCCACCCTCTTTATAATCAAATTCGTTGTAGTAGGGAGGATACCACTCAAAGCCTTCCACAAGAATGTCTTCCATTTGGGGGGAACTTTTAATTTCCATAGGCGTAACCAATTATGCGTGCCTGTATTATCATTGAGATCTCCCACAACTGCTTTGTAGCCACTCTTAACAGTATAATTACCTCCCTGATCACCATGCCAATACCACATATCCTCATAGTCCGATGATACTGGAATCCTTTTTATCCTAGCCACATCCGTAGGAATAAAAATATCTGCCAAAATATCCGGATCCCAGGTTTGTGTCTCATGATCAATTAATCCCAACACTGCTGCATTATTTAAATATGGGGGCTTATCAATATGAACCATTGGGTCGTGTTCATCTTGTAACCATGGGTGGTCCCAGATGAGAGTTGTCTTTCCATTTCCAATTCTGCACCTCGTTCCGCTACAAATCATGCTCTGAGCTGCCATTATACTACGCCAACAGAAACTGGGGTTATTTCCTACCTTGGCATCATAAAAGGCCCCTTTTGGGTAATATCTCGCTCTGTAAACTCGTGAGACCAGAGAGTCAGGTTTTGTTAACAAGCGCCATGCCTGTTTGCCCAGCATTGCTATATTAAATGCGTGCAGTTCTTTAAAACCTAGGCCACCATACTTTTTTGGTATACACAATTTGTCCCATGCCTTCCAATGGATTCCTCGTTCATTCCCAGATCCCCACCAATACCGGTTCATTGTTCGCTCAATAGCTGTGCAAATCCCCATAGGTAATAAAAAGACACTCATTGAAAAGGTGGGCATTGCCTGAGCCACACTTTTCAACAAGACTTCCTTACCAGCTTGCGATAACAATTTCTTATTCCAAGATAGGATTCTTTGCCTTATCTTATCCTCAATATATGAAAAGGCTGCTTTTTTATTTCTCCCTACAAATGAGGGTAGTCCCAAATATTTTCCAAAGTTTGGTGCCTGAGTAACCCCCAGTATCTGCGCCACTTCCTCCCTACTATCATCCTGTGTGTTCTTGCTATAACATATGCTGGACTTATGATAATTTACCACTTGGCCAGATAAATTTTCATACCGTGTCAAACACTGCTTTATCGCACTTGCTTCCTGCACATTTGCTTTAAAAAATAGTAGGCTGTCATCAGCAAAGAATAGATGTGAAATAGAAGGTGCACCCCTTGCAACTCTGCACCCATGAATTGCTCCCTGAATCTGTGCCTGTTGTAGCAATAAAGATAGTCCCTCTGCACAGATAATAAATAGATACGGGGATAATGGGTCTCCCTGCCTGAGTCCGCGAGATGGGATGATTGGCAAACCTCGGGCTCCATTCAGTTTGATATTATATGACACAATAGTCACACATAACATGATTAATTCCACCCATATATTACTAAAGCCCAAAGCTGTTAACATGTTTCGTAGTGTTGGGAAAATCCCACTTCCTCCAATAATATTTGATGAAGAAACCACCCAAGAAGTTAGACAAATTCACGGCTAAAATTCATCACACTTGAGTCAAAGGATGAAGAAACAAGATGAAGATAATTTCTTCCTCTGCTGCCGCCGAACTGCTGCCCTCCTCCCTCTCACGTTTTTTATTTTGTTTTGTCTTCAATTCACCAACAACCCAAATCACATATATATTACATTATATATATAATGGGGAATGAACCAAAAAAAAAGGAGAAGTTTCCTTTTCACAATTTTGGTAAGCAAATTGTCGCACCATTCCATAATTCATCCATATATTCCTAATTAAATATTATTATATTATATAAATATAATAATAATAATAATTAGGGTTCAATATGAGAGGAAGTCCAACAAAATATAGTGGATACAAATTGGCTTGGTCCAAACATGAGCTATTTACCACATAGGAGGGAAGCCCACCAACAAATCTCCCCCTCCCGACTATGTGGAAGATATCGCCATCCCGGCGATAGAGCAACAATCCTCAAACTTCCCTCTCGGCAATGCTTTAGTCATCATGTCAGACCCATTATCATCGGTATGAATCTTTTCAAGTTCAAGCATCTTGCACTCTAAGATATCTCTAATCCAATGATATCTCGTGTCAATATGTTTTGACCTGTAATGGAACGTTGAGTTCTTTGCAAGATGAACTGCACTTTGACTATCACAATAGAGCACATACTTGTCTTGAACAAACCCGAGCTCCTGAATAAACTTCTTCATCCATAGCATTTCTTTACTGGCCTCAACAGATGCTATGAACTCAGCTTCAGTGGTAGACAAAGCAATACACTTTTGCAATCTTGATTGCCATGAAACTGCTCCCCCTGCATAGGTAATTAGATAACCTGAAGTAGATTTCCTGGTGTCAATGTCCCCGGCCATATCTGAATCAGTGTATCCGGCAAGAATAGGTTTATCTGTACCAAAACACAAACTCAGATTTGAAGTACCCCGAAGATATCTAAGAACCCACTTCACAGCATCCCAATGTTCTCTCCCTGGATTTGAGAGAAATCTGCTAACAACACCCACTGCATGAGCAATATCTGGTCTAGTACATACCATGGCATACATCAAACTACCAACAGCTGAAGAATAGGGAACTCTTTGCATTTCTTCATCCTCTTTCTCACTAGAGGCACATTGCTTCTTACTTAACTTGAAATGCATACCAAGAGGTGTATTCACTGGCTTAGCTTTATCCATACTAAATCTCTCAAGTACTTTCTCTATATACTTCTCTTGAGATAACCACAACTTCTTGTTCTGCCTGTCACGAATGATCTTCATCCCAAGAATTTGCTTTGCTGGTCCCATGTCCTTCATAGAAAAGGACTTACTCAACTCTTGTTTCAACTGTTGAATTCTTGAAACATTGCGACCAACAATCAACATATCATCAACATAAAGCAACAATATAACAAAGTCATCATCAGAGAATCTGATTACAAAAGCACAGTGGTCTGAAGAAGTCTTCTTGTACCCATGCTTACTCATAACGGAAGTAAACTTTTTATACCACTGCCTCGGAGCTTGCTTCAATCCATACAAACTCTTCTTTAACCTGCAAACATAATCCTCTTTCCCTTTGACTTTGAATCCCTCAGGTTGCTCCATATATATCTCCTCATCCAAATCACCATGGAGAAAAGCTGTCTTTACATCCATCTGCTCAATTTCTAAATCCAAACGAGCTGCTAGACCCAACACAACTCTAATGGATGAAAATTTCACAACAGGAGAGAAAATTTCATCAAAATCAATACCTTTCTTCTGGCTAAAACCTTTCACCACCAGTCGAGCTTTGAATCGTGGAACTGAAGTGCCCTCTTCATGTTTCAATCTGTAGACCCACCTGTTCTTCAAAGCTTTCCTGTTCTTTGGTGCCCTTACCAACTCAAAGGTATCATTTGCATATAGGGAATTCATCTCATCCTGCATAGCCTCAAGCCATTGTCTCTTTTGCTCACTCTCCATAGCTTCTTCATAGAACTCAGGTTCTCCCCCATCAGTTAATAACACATACTGACTGGAAGGGTAACGAGTAGATGGTCTCCGTTCCCTGTTAGACCTTCTAGGAGGATCAACTGGAACCTGCGAAGGAACTTCTTGTTCCTGGTGCATAACATCATCAACATGACCATCCACATCAGCTGTATCATCCTGATTGTCTGGTACAAGATCACCGTTCTGGCCATTCTCTTGAACCTCATCAACATCATGTGTATCTTCGCTGGAAACTGGCTCACAGTCAACCAAACTTCCGCTGTCTTGAGATTCTGGCTTTCTCACTTTGTCAACACCTTCAATGGTTTGATCTTCAAAGAACACTACATCACGGCTTCTCACAAGCTTCTTCTCAACTGGATCATACAGCTTGTAGCCAAATTCATCAAGACCATAACCAATGAAAATGCACTGTCTAGTCTTCGAGTCCAACTTAGATCTTTCATCTCTCGGGACATGCACAAATGCCTTACAACCGAAGACTCTGAGGTGATCATAAGAGACTTCCTTTCCACACCAAACCTTATCAGGAACTTCATTATTCAAAGCAATAACAGGAGATAAGTTGATAACATGAACAGTTGTGGAAACTGCCTCTGCCCAAAAAGAACTAGGCAACTTTGCGTCATCAAGCATACATCTGACTCTCTCCATAATTGTCCGATTCATCCTCTCTGCCAAGCCATTTAATTGAGGAGTTTTAGGAGGAGTTTTCTGATGTCTAATACCGTGCATTCTGCAATACTCATCAAATGGGCCACGGTACTCACCGCCATTATCAGTACGGATGCACTTCAATTTCTTCCCTGTCTGTCTCTCAACAAGGGCATGAAACTCTTTAAACACACCAAACACATCACTTTTGTGCTTCAAAGTGTAAACCCAGAGTTTCCTAGAATAATCATCAATGAAGGTCACAAAGTAAGATGCACCTCCAAGTGATCTAACCTTCATTGGTCCACACACATCAGAATGTATCAACTCAAGTGGCTTCGGCTTCTTCGAAGGAGAGTTGCTCATAAAAGAAACTCTTTTCTGTTTCCCTGCCAGGCAATGAACACATCTGTCCAATCTAGCTTCCTTTACTCCTGAAAGCTTTTTCTTCTTGGCAAGGTAATCAATCCCCTTCACACTCATGTGGCCAAGTCGTTTATGCCACAATTCTGATGCACATTCTTTTGCTGCCACATTCACTGAATCACCAGAAATAGAGCTTTGTAAAGAGTACAAGTTAGAAGACTTGTTACCTCGTGCAATAACCAGCGAGCCTTTAGTGATTTTCCAATGTCCATCACCAAAGAAACAACAGAAACCATCATCATCGAGTTTTCCTGTAGAAATGAGATTCAGTCTGATACCCGGTGCATGCTTTACATTTTTAAGTTCCAGCATTGTGCCATTGCTGGTCTCAAGACAAACTGTACCCGTACCAATCACCTTCACCTGACCATCATCACCCATTCTTAGCTCTCCAAAATCACCTGGAGTATATGAAGTAAAGAATTCCTTCCTTGGTGTAACATGGTAAGATGCGCCCGAATCTACAATCCAAGTTGTCTCATGGCATGCAACGTTGACGGCGTTCTCATCACAAGCAAGAAGCAAATCTGCTCTAACTGTTGCAACCTGGTTCTCTGTGTGATCATCTTTCTTGTCTTGCTTCTGTTCCCTTTTCAACTTGAAGCAATTTTTCTTGATGTGACCCTTCTTGCCACAATGATAACATTCAACATCCTTGTGCCAAGACCTGGACTTACTTCTGCTTTTATCTCTACCCTTCTGACCCCTTTGTTTGTTTCTCCCCCTATCATTTGTAACCAAAATATCTGATTGAGAAGTGGAGGTGTCTTGAGATCTTCTTCTTGACTCTTCATTCAAGATACCACTCTTGACATACTCCATGGTCACAACACCGTTGGGAGCAGAATTGGTCAAAGAAACCCGAAGTGTTTCCCAAGAATCAGGTAGAGTGTTAAGCAACCAGAGACCAAGTACCTCATCCTCAAATTTGATGCCCATGCTAGACAACTGATCAAGAACACCCTGAAAATCATTGACATGATCATTGATCAATGTACCTTCCCTGAATCTTAGATTCATCAATTGTTTTAGCAAAAACAATTTGTTATTGCCTGTCTTGGAAGCATACAGGGTCTCAAGTTTATCCCACAGGCTTCTGGCATGTGTGTCGTTGATAATGTGATTCATAACATTATCTTCAACCCATTGGCGAATATAACCACAAACTTGTTGGTGCTCAAAGTCCCACTCTTCGTCTGACATGCTTTCTGGCTTTGCAGTTGCAAACACAGGTAGATGTAATTTCTTCACAAATAGAAGATCCTTCATCTTGGCCTTCCAAATATGATAATTTCTACCATTCAATCGTACCATATTACTCATATTTGTCTCCATGTCAAATGTACCCAATCAACAACCTGGGCTCTGATACCACTTTGTTGGGAAAATCCCACTTCCTCCAATAATATTTGATGAAGAAACCACCCAAGAAGTTAGACAAATTCACGGCTAAAATTCATCACACTTGAGTCAAAGGATGAAGAAACAAGATGAAGATAATTTCTTCCTCTGCTGCCGCCGAACTGCTGCCCTCCTCCCTCTCACGTTTTTTATTTTGTTTTGTCTTCAATTCACCAACAACCCAAATCACATATATATTACATTATATATATAATGGGGAATGAACCAAAAAAAAAAGGAGAAGTTTCCTTTTCACAATTTTGGTAAGCAAATTGTCGCACCATTCCATAATTCATCCATATATTCCTAATTAAATATTATTATATTATATAAATATAATAATAATAATTAGGGTTCAATATGAGAGGAAGTCCAACAAAATATAGTGGATACAAATTGGCTTGGTCCAAACATGAGCTATTTACCACATAGGAGGGAAGCCCAAC